CATTTTAATTCGCATGTACACTTCAAATGTGTGATGTAAGATTTTGTGACTTCATCCGTTGATTTGTTTATCATCGACAGTCTATTTGCGTGAACTGTCATGCTGTCATTTGACATGTATCGCCACAACCTAAGTATCGAACCGGATACCCAATTCAAAAATTTTACATAGTATTAAATTCAATATTGCACACACCATCTTACATAGATGGAAGACTTCCTTGACCGACTTGTAAGTAAAGGAGGTATCATGTAGCTGAGCGTTACGGCTTAACGCTCTGTCGAACTGGGTTTCGAAGTGCAACCAAGTTATAGTTTTATGTATGTGATTATATCTTACTGTCTATGTAATAATATAATTTATTTTACTTTTTACTTCTGTGAAAAAACTGCCTATTAATGTATTTTAAATTAATAGAAAACCGATGTGAAACAGGTGTGGGGAAGCCCTGTTTCAGCAGTAATGGGCCGGCTCGATCGGAGTGATACCATCAACGAGCAGAAAACCGACGTCAAAGAAGTGGGAGAGTCATACTTCGGCACGAATTGGCCGGCTCGACCGGAGTGATACCACAGTCTCACAGAAAACCGCCGTGGAACAAGTAAAGAAGAAAGAAAGAAAAAAAAACCATTTATTTGCTACGACACACAACAGGATTTAAGCGAGAGTTAGATTAAAACCGACGTCAAACAAGTGTGGGAGAGTCATGTTTCAGCACGAATGGGCCGGCTCGACCAGAGTGATACCATCAACGAGCAGGAAACCGACGTGAAACAAGTGTTGGAGAGTCATACTTCGGCACGAATGGGCAGGCTCAACCGGAATGATACCACGGCCTCACAGACAACCGACGTAAAACAAGTATTGGAGAGTCATGCTTCGGCACGATTTGACCGGCTCGACCGGAGTGATATTACGGCCGCACAGAAAACCGACGTGAAACAAGTGTTGGAGAGTCATGCTTCGGTACGAATGGGCCGGATCGACCGGAGTGATACCATCAACGAGCAGGAAACCGACGTGAAACAACGCTTCCGTTGTGTTTCGTCGTGTGAGTGAGGTTACCGGACGGAAGTCCAATTACCTATATAATTTTGTATTTTTAACTGACCTAGTTACTAACAAAAGGCTATTGACAACAAATAATTATCAACAAAAGCAATACTATATCATAATTTCCCACACTATATAGTTATCTATAAAATATTCAAAATTAATTCTTCATTATCATTATGTTAATTAAAATTCATTTACAAAGTTAATGGAACACCTAATTATGCAGTACAGTAATCACTTTTTAATATATATTATCTTATCATAGTTTTAAGTCATGATAAGGGCCCACGGTCAGGTCGGAAAGATTGGATATGCGAAAATCAATCTTGAGGCCTAAGAAAATAATGTATTTTTTCAAAGGCGAGTATGAGTGAAGCATACTGATATTACTGATTCATTTTTTTATACGACCTTGCTGTTTGTATTTTGTACTTTCATTACTTTTACCTAGGTACTTCCAAAAGCAAAAAATAAGGTTTCATAGTTTGACCTGTATGTATGTGTTTGTGCGCGTGTCTCCCGATTGGTTTTTTTTTATGGCATAAGCCGGTAAACCAACAGACGGATCACCTGATGGTAAGCAATCCTTGTCGCCCATGGACACCTGGAACACCAGAGGCGTTACAGTGCGTTAACGGCCTTTTGGGGATTACGAGTTTGAGGATCGTTGGAGATACAGGAATTGGGGAGATTGGGGAAGGGGATGGTAATTGGGCCTCCGGTAACCTCACTCGCACGACGAAACACAACGCAAGCGTTGCTTCACTTCAGTTTTCTGTGAGGCCGTGGTATCACTCCGGTCGAGCCGGCCCATTCGTATACACACATACACAATAAGTGTCTACCACACTTGTTGAGACGGTTTTTATGCCGTTTACAGAAAAGTTTACGAGGTTTTAGTATATTAACTCGTCGAGTACCGTCATTATAGACACAATTATAGACACAATTATAGAACAATAGGTTGCGGTCACCGGTGACCGCTTGGTGTTTGACAGTTTAAATAACCGACTTCAAATAAAGGGAGGTCGGAGAGTCGGTTTTTTTAAAGTTTACAAAAGAAGTAATATTCAGTATCTTTATAATTTTTTCAGTGCTCGGAAATATCACAGTCTGGAATCTTGCCCGGCGTAATTATAGCAAGACTAATAATCTTTCTCAATTGTTTTTATTTTATATCTACTTCATTAGTCAATAGATAATGTATTTAGTTACATTACAATAACTACTATTATCTACATGTACCTATGTTATCTTATTTAAACAGAAAGGAAAAATGGTATTTGTTTATTTATAAATAACTATTGTCTAAACTAGGCCCGTAGCAGCAATAAATATTACTAGGTAGGTTTACCAGTTTCATAGGAACTCCACTCACCATTCCCTAATCAACTTTTGAAATTACCTCTATTTTTTTTTTTAAGGGGGGAAAATCATCGAATGACTGCTCCCGCCTGGGTGAGGCGGGAGGGAGTGTCAGACTCTTGCTGACTAAAAACCACCCCGTTCCTTCTCCTGCACATCGAGCCGGAGCCCCGGTAACCCGTTAGGTTCTCCGCGACAAAATGCTTTATAATAGAAATTGTCCAAATTAATTCAAACTCGATTTTATGCGATTTGATGAGATGGTAAACCAGCAGACACATCACCTGATGGTAAGCATTCGGTACCGACACTCGCACCACCAGAGGAATAACAATACCACCCCGTTCCTTCTCCTGCACGTCGAGCCGGAGCCTCGGTTACCCGGAGCCCCGGTTACAAATTACCTCTAATAGAAGCTAGTCATGGACTCAATTAACTAAAAATCGCGGGTTACTCACGTGAATATACTGAGAAAAGGTCACCGCGATTTTTAGTTCATTTAGTATGTCTCACGATAGTTATTTTTTATGGAATAGGAGGCAAACGAGCAGACGGGTCACCTGATGTTAAGCAATCGGCGTCGCCCATGGACACTTGGAACACCAAATACCTTGCAACTGCGTTACCGGCGTTTTAGGGATTAGGAATTTGAGGATTGTTGCGAAGATTGGGGAAAATGGGGGTTGTTTCATGTGGGTTTTCTGGTCGACCGTGGTATCACTCCGGTTGAGCCAGCTCATTCGTGCTGAAGCATGGCTTTCTCATTTAAATATGAACTTTAAATCATATGTCACATGACATATTCCATAATGTTAATATAAATTATTATTCTTATTATCAATACAATTTGTCATCGGAGAACCTAACGGGTAACCAGGGCTCCGGCTCGACGTGTAGAAGGAACGGGGTGGTTTTTAGTCAGTAAGAGTCTGATACTCCTTTCCGCCTCACCCAGGTGGGAGCAGTTATTTGATGATTTTCCCCCCTTAAAAAAGCCTATTTCTCATTATTTGAAATGTATACATAACGCCTTGGTTTTATGACTGTAATGTTATACTATTTTAATAGAAATAATCACTACATAGTATAAAACAAAGGCGCTATCCGAATCTGTCGGTCCCTATGTATGCTTAGATCTTTAAAACTACGCAACTGATTTTAATGCGGTTTTTTTTAATAGATAGAGTGATTCTTAAGGAAGGTTTATATATAGCTATAACACATGTTACATATGTATATTGCACCCGTGCGAAGCCGAGGGCGGGTCGCCAGTATATAAATAAATAAAAAAGCTATAAGCAGGCAGCCCGTTAAAAAGGAGTCGTGCTAGAGTGCTTGTTACATGTGTTATGATTTTTAGTAGTAAATTAATATAGTTTTAAACAAAGTTTATATTTGGCATTGAGTTGAACCTGTAGAGAGGCTATCTTCATTACCGCGCGACCAAAAACATTGAGCCACTTCTGACATACAAAGACGTACTATAGAAAGCATTAGACATTCAAAGTCGAAGCATTTATTTCAATTAAACCATAATTTGGTACTTATTCAACGTCAACAAATACAAAATAAATAATAGTCTGTCAGTCAGTCCGTCAGTGAAGCTAGGTGAAGCTAGGTGCTCTTTCCAAAATGTAGATTCGAATGGAGAAGAATGAGCAAGAAACTCCAAAATTCCAAACAAATATGTCTATTTCAATGATATTTGGCAATTATCTTGTTTGTCCCATTAATAAATTGTAAATACCTTATGCTGTTTGTTACCAAGGTATTTTATTGGAATGATTATTACTTATTAATTAATTAGACATTACAAAACATTTAAAAAATAAGTTTTAAACAAGTTCTGCAAGAAGTTATGGTAGGTCAAACATAATTAGGTTTTGTAGACTGGATTCATTGTTTGTTTTATTTTTTAATTTTGTTTCATTCAACAATTTATATTATTTTATCAGCTGCTAATATTAAATCTTGATTTTCTTGATATTTTCATTGTTGTTCTTTGTGTATTGTTAGATTATATTTTCGGTTGTTATTGTCTGTTTGTGTAAATGTAATTTGATTTAAAGAAACCATGTTTAACAGATAATGTAATAGTTGTTTAAACTGTCAAACACCAAGCGGTCACCGGTGACCGCAACCTATTGTTCTATAATTGTGTTTACAAAACCGGTACTCGACGAGTTAAATTATTTTACAGTTCAAATTGTTAAAAATTTAACATTGTCTATCCATTTAGTTTGTTCTAGATTCAAATTCAGACTCAGTTTCCTTCCTATTTTTTTCTACTACGCCTTGCTCGGCATAGATCATAATCAAGTTTTTTTCCGCACAATAGATTCTCTATTCAAATGTTTCGTAACTAATCACTAATCGGACAACAATAAACAAATGGAAACAATGAACTTTTAAAAAGTTAAAGTTGTTGTAGATAAAGTCTATTGTTTATTTTATGTTCTTCACCTCGAATTCCAGACTTAATGACGAAATCACTGATATCAAAACGATATCCAAATTGATTCGCAGTACAATTTATTACGACATTCAAGTTGAAAGAAATAAAAACCTAATCAACGTACCTTGTGATCCTAAAACTACAATTTTCGCTTCAATAACTTTCATTTTGCACATAAAACACTAACACAGTAAATATCACGTATTTATTTACACTTTACATTGTTTTCATAACATTTAAAGTGAATAAACGACTAAATTTTAATTAACACGGAACATGTTTCTCTCTCGCTAACTTTTACGAAACTAAAGTTTGTTAGTTAAATAATGTGAATAAATTAAAAATACTTTTTAAATGGGCAATTTACCACATAGTAATGACCATTTTAAATTGGCCGGGTAATACTTATTTGACAGATAGCATTGAACTGACAGGGCAGCGACATCTATGCGTGTACCTCTAAAATTCAAATGTTCAATATGCTTTGTCTATGGTAGAACTCGAATAGAACAGTGTTTCTTGTTTTATTTCGCAGCTTCAAATATAGATGGCGTTTAGATGCCCAGACGAAAATGCCCGTTTTGGGCATTTTTTCAACGTCTTGGGTCATGGTTAATTTCATTGGTTAGTATTTTGCTTAGTATGTTATTTAACTCGTCGAGTACCGTCATTATAGACACAATTATAGAATAGTAGGTTGCGGTCACCGGTGACCACTTGGTGTTTGACAGTTTAAAAAACAAAAACCATAATTAAACTAATTAAGAAAGGCATTACTTCCCAATGCAGCATTTAAAAATTATTCATAACTACAGAAGCTGCATTTAACCTCAATACTTTTTCGCAATAAATAAAATATTATCAAATATAAATATTTATTAGTTGAAAAATGGGTATCATCTACTTTTTCGACCATAAAAATAATGGCTTACCTAATATCCCAACGTTTATAGCGTTATGAGACTCAATAGTTTATGAGTAATATTAACTTTATAGTGATTGCTATAAGATGGGCAAAGGCACTGAGATTGAGCCATAAAATTATATTTCATAGACTACAAGAGAAGATGCGATGCCATTTTAACGAGATGCTATTAAATCCCCATCTTTAATCCATAATTTCGATATAATTAACTTCCTTTATTGCGGACCTCGGCCCTTCGTTCGCCGTTGGACACTCGGACCTCTCGTAAGAGTTATGACTTTTGCTCTTTTCTTCGTCGAGGTGCAGTATTTAAAACATTATTTATACAATAAACAGCCGATATCATACTGAATAACTGAATATCTTCAAGTATGAATGCAGTGCAGTGTTTTGTAGCCCAGGAGTGTAGTCAAGTGTAGTGTAGTGTCCTCTATTAGTCATACATGTCCTCTATTAGGGTACATATCATAATATTCTGTGCACCTTATATGCAAATAGGTACTCAAAAACTATCAATTTTAAGTCACTACAAATTCTTGTAAAACGACAGAGATAGCACGATAATTAAGT